CTCCAGTGAATGCATTTACATCAATGAAGTGCAACAGTCTGTCAGGACATAGAGTTTCATAGGAGAAGCTCAGACAGAACCCAAAATTTCAAGCCCATCCACCATCTGGATTTGAGCCCTAAAGACTAGAAATAACAAGTATTGATTGTTTTCTTTCTCTTGGCTAGAAATGCTGTTTAGGAGTCACAAATCTCTCCTGCAAGTTTCTTTGTAACTAGCATGCTTCCATGGAGAAACATTCTGAGAAGTCAACATTTTTGACCGACCAGCCAACCAACCTTTCCCGACAGCCTGCCAAAACACATCATTGGAAGAAGCGTGGTCAGCTATTAAGAGGCCTTTACAGCAGTCAAAACACTCTCAGTACCCAGGGACTACATTGCTATAATCGCTTGCACACAGAAATATAGCAGGTCTCGCACCCCCCAAAAAACGCCACTCTTACTGTAATGCCGATACCTATATTACTATAAAACTCTGTAATCAGACGTTATTGCTTAAGGGCTCCGTACCTCTGAGAAAGCTTCAGGTCTGCACAACATACCCCAGTTAGGGTAACAAGTGTTATTTTAATTCGATATAATTTCAGGATGACCACAAGTTGGAGACTTTCTCTTTATCGAGGTCATCAAATTAAAACAGAAATAAAGACACTGTTAATTCAACATCCAGGCAAACTTTTGTTAGGGCAGATTTATTAAGCCTCTAAATACCAGCATTACCAAGTATCCATCATGAATCAAAAGCACTATGGTCTGTTTCTGTATTACACTTTAAGGCCCATCTTCTCTCTTAGCCAAAGATACATATTTTAGTTCAATATTATTTCTTGAAGTGATACACTTGCTATCCAAACACAACCTGAATTGTATACTCTTGGCCTCTAAGGTTGAAATTATTTACCACTCTGATTTGCCTATATAAACTCACTGACAGATACCCCACAGTCTTCTCCAGCTATTCGACACTTCAGATTTGGGACAGTTTGTGAAACCTAAACTAACTCGGTCATGCGCAAAGGTACCAGGAGTATTTTTACACAGGTTTGTGCCACACTATTACCCATCTCCACACTACCACTGATCTATTTTGGAATCCTTTCATCTGGCAATACTCTCTTGAAAGCTTGAAACCATGACAGTTAGTCTAAGGGTCTATATTGCTTAAATGGGCATCTGAACTGCATCTCACCGAGGACCTTTTGTCCAGCCAGCACTGCACCCTGGACATCAGCAACAGGGGAGTGCGTAAGAATGAGATACATGAAATTTCTATTCAGTTGAGATTTTTACAAGCCATACGCTGTGACCAGAATCCAAGAAGTGGTATTCATTTTACTGAGACTCAGAGCTGGCTATTATTCCCATAATTTTAGGGTTTTTTTTTTTTTCAGATACTATAGAGCACCACTCAAAAACATCTAAGGAGGGAAAAGTGGACAGAGAAAGGTTTTAAAATTCGGATCAGTATTATCCATGCTGCTACGTACTGTAATCTTAACATTCACTCAAATATTAGATTAGTGGGTTAGGAAAGATGTGGACAACACTGGAAAAAGAAGAGTCAAAGGAGTACAAACCGAATGGACAGTCTGCAGCCTAGTACAGGAGCATTATTCCAAATCCTGAACTAAGATGGTACATGTTAGTAACTACTACTTACAGGGTTACTGGAATCCTGATCCCCACTATTCATCTGGGAGATTAAATACCACAAGCATTGGCTGTGAAACAATGAACACTTTTCTTTGGCGCTCCTGGCAGAGCTCAATCCAAGAACTGAGCCTCACTACCCTTGAGCCATTAGACATAGCCAGACTTCTTAAGAGTTTGGCAAGCATATGATCTGTATTAAACGACTGCATGCTACCTCCCTCTAGAACTTCTCATGTTTGTCATCTAGGTGACATTACAAGTATCTTTATATAACATTTTAAGCATATAACTAAGAATATACAGTATATAGTTAGCCCTTACTCAGAAAATGGCGATCATATCATTGAATCACATGAATAAGGACCTGGACAATTGGAATTTTGTATTTTAAAACTTCTGTATGATGGCTAGAGGCAGAAACTGATTTTATGATGACCTGAAATAGAAGTGTCATATACTGTTCAGTTTAAAACTGATCTGAAGCATTTTTAAAGTATCAACATTAGCTTCCTCACCTCCCCAAGAGAAGTATGTTTCTTAATTATCCTCGCAGATCAAAAGGTCACATGGGATGAAAATTCTTTTAGAAGAGGAATCTTTAATCTAGCAGACAAAAAAAAAATCAACACCTGGTTACCTGGAGTTGGAGAAAGAAGCAAAGTAAATATAAAGTATGTATTTAAATTGTAAGGGTATGATATTTTGGGGAATCTGATTATGTAGGACAGATTTTTATAGTGGGGACTCTTTCTGCATCAGGACCTGAACATGGGACTAGTATTTTTTGCTCTGCTACCTTTTATGGTTCTTCATTAAGGCTAAGCCCAGAGGAAGTGGTATCAGTTCCTGCAACTCTGAAATAAAGTTAGTTATCAGTGTTTGATAGCTTGGCTGAGCAGCCCATTAATTCAGATTGGTCATCTGTTAGCAAATCATAGGGGAGAAAAAAGAACTTTGAATTCACTTGTCACTAGCATACAACTATAAAGAGAAGTCTTCGAGTATGTTGAACAGCTGTTGAAACTGATAAGGGACGGAGGGGTAAGCTGTGCCAGAGGGCACTGGGTAGGAGACAGGAGCGGTGCAGCATGTTGTTATGGTGGTCCTTCAACTAGAGGACCAGCACAGGCTAGCAACAAGCAAAGCCATTTAGGGAGCCACGTGCTGGGCCGGTGTCCAATTCCACTGCGATTTGTCCTAGAAGAGCTCAATTATAAATGCAGAGCACCCACAGAAGACTGCAGCTCTTGCAAACATATAAAAGCTGCCAGAAGTCTAAGAGTTCTGCACCCATTATGGTCAGTTCATTTGGGCACTTGGGGATGCCATTTTCAGGATAAATAATGAAGTCAAGAAGCAAAGGACTGTTAAAAGGCTACTGCTCCAGCCTACTCACCTAAAGGGACACTTGAGGGTGCATAGGGTGCCATCAAACTGGTCCCAACACTGTGTATGTTCTGGTGAATATCCAGCACAGAAAGCTGTGATAAGGGTAAATTAATTAATGGAGCCCACAAAAAAGATGCAGGAAACTATCTTACAGCTTTAAACCAAGAATCGGTATTTTTTAAAGACAATACTCTGTAGTTCAGAAATGTTTATGAATCTGCTGGGAATTCCAGGCTGTTATGTGCAAAGGAAGTGTGGTTAGATCATCACAATAATTTAAGTTATGGCTAGAAACTTTAAAAGGAAAGCTTTGTTGATTTTTTACATTTTGAAGTTCCTACCTGATTCAGAGACATTTATATTCAAATAATCCTTCCAATAAGAGTGAGGAAAAACTCATCGAAAGTCCTGCAGTATGGCAGGATCAGGTATAGCCCAGCCCTGAGTCAACAATCACCTAATTTGTGTACAAAGAGCTATTGAGAAGGAGATTGCATCGCTTCAAGTGTAGGGCAGATCCTGTACTCTCAGACTCCAGGAGCTTTAATCGGTGATGTTTCATCACTGTATTTGGTAGAACTGGATTTTTAATCTGCATAATCTTTAACTACAGCAAGTATTCATTCAAAACTGAAGCTAAATAAAGACAGTTAAGTAATAATTTAACATCTAAGCTCAGAGTTAACACCTAAGAATAGATTGTAACCAAGCACCGTATCAATTTGACAGCAAAAGCAAGACAAAGAAATATGAACAGCTTTATATACATACACAAAGTGTCACATCACTGGTTTGAAAGAGGAATCAATTTCCAGGGGCTATGAGCACCTCCAAATGTCCTTTCATTTCAACAGGAATTGTGCACACTGTTCACGAATTACTGATGCCATGCAAACAGCTATATCCAAGTGAGTCTGAAATTGTCCCCTCCCCCACCCAACAGACAATAACAAGAGCTTCTGTTTCCCCAAATTTAGCCAAGCTTCCTTTTACACAAAGAACATGAAGAAGTACCAAATTAATACAGAATTTTAAGAGCTGAAAGAGTAATCATTTTCTTAAGAAACTGAGAGATGTGATACAAAAGAAACAAGACTGAATCCACATATAACATTACAGGTTGATGTTATGTTTAACTATTTATATTAAAGCCACAGCTGACGTCTGGTATGTAACGATGTAAAAAAATAAGTTTCAAGAAAGCATCACTACGAAAATGAAATGAAACTTGGCAAAGTTTAACAAATTTCATAGCTTTAGCTGCTGTGAAAATATTATTTTACTTGACATGCATTCAGAATTTGAAATTCCTGAAATGCAAAATTTTCAAACCTTAAGTAGTCTCCTATAGCTACAGCTGGTCTCCGAAATGAAGTATTAGCCCTCATAACAAAGAAAAATAAAATCCCTTCTCCACTTTCTTTGTCTTTTCTTTTTTTACATAAAGGATGAGAAGTGCTCCCAAAACAAAGTCAATTTACAATTTTAAAAGGTTCCTACAGAAAAAAACATACATTCCTTTCTTTCCTTGTGCCTATATTTTAAGCAAGACTGTGCCTAAATTCAGAGAATGCTTGATGTTTTAACTGCACAAGGATTAAATGTTGTCATATTTATCACTGAAGAGTCCAATGGCATACTTCAATGGCATCAATCTTCACATTATGAGATGGGAAAGCAGTTGTTCAGTTGCACTCGGATTGTTGCTTGCTTGCACCATGATATAATTGCATTTAACCTGGAATCCAGTGAGAACTCACCCTGACCGTTCATGTTTCCCTGAAAAGCTTTTCTACACTTTCATATAAACCAACAGACACACAGGTGAACAGCTCTTCGGTTCTTTCATTGACTATAAAAAGCAGGCTTTCTTTAAATCGATAGCTTAATAGTTATGATAAATATAGCTTTTGCCACATTTCTTGCTTGTAATTCAATGTAATGCTTCTTGATGCCTCAGTCATCATCTTGCTGATTTCTTTTCTGTCAACGGAACAGGAGAGTTCATAACGTTAGGACACAATTATCTGAAGTAAGAGCACTAATAAATCATGACAAGTGTTTCCAGGTACAATGGGTATTAGACAACAATTGCAGTTCTAAGCCATTTTTTGAATGGTAAGAGATAATGTTTCTAAGCAAATGGAACAGAGCAATATCAACCCTCTCCCCCACCCCAAACTATAGGATTTTATTTCCAGGAAAGAACAAGATTTGCCCTGTACATTAACCAAAAGAATATACAAGAACCAGAAAACATGATGACGGTGGCAGAAGTCAGTGGTCAAGATGAAGGCAACCTGCCCTCCCTTCCCTAGCTTACAAAGATGTCATGTTTTCATGTCACTATTCATCAAAGGAACAAAGAAATTGTATTGAAAAAGGAACAAGTGTTTAAGGTTTTTTCCTAATATACTTATCTTCTAATTTTTAAAGAAGTTCTTAAAAGCATTAGCTTCAGCCATTCAATAAATAGATTTCCATTTATATTACATTTGTATTTACATTTACATAAGAAAGAAAACAGCTAGGTCTTTCAGTAAGATTTATCAAACTACATTTATTGCTTCCTGTAAAGATAAAATTAATTAACTGAAGTGAGATCAGTATGAAAGCTTGCTCTTCATCACTTTGAAAAAAAAAAAAAAAGAAAATCAACCCAACAATACATTGTATGATGGCTTCACACATTACTTTTTCTGTAATTATGTAACCCATGTTAATTAGAAAAGCACAATTCCAGGCACTTTGATGTTGCTATTTCAAAGACGGAAGGTCAGATTTTTTTTTTTCATTACTTCTTACCAGTTTAAGAAAGTCAATTAGTTTGTGAACATCCTCTCCTGTAGAAAGGTCCACAAAATCTTTTGGCAGTCGGTAACTCAGGTATGGACTAGGCTGGACAGTAACTTTACTGTTCGTACAACGGAAAACTGGATAGTCCTTTGGAAAAGAATGGATAAGACAAGAACAGGGTACGTGAATAAAGCTAGCAATGTTTCTTGAACTCCTCGATGAAATTGTCTGAGTCACTTTCGCAATGAGTTTATTTGGCATACATTCAACTAAACCTGCGCTTTCTGAAAATTGTAGTTTTCTTATGAAAAACTTTGCCCACTTAAGAACAAAAGTTAAAATGTTCATAACAGTCAAATAAAGGCATTAATTCCCTCACTTTAAAGTTTCTACAATGTATCAATTACTAATGCATTTAATATACATATGCTTATAACAGTGCTGTAATAATGGAGCTATAAGGAACTTCGGTCAGCAGTAGCTACACAAATATGTGGATAAAGAAAATCTTTATGATAGAATCCCTGAACTTGCCTTCACTAGTTCCTTGTTTAAACTCATGTTTGCAAATATAACCTTACTGAAATTATGATCTAAGCTTTCCAACCAATTTACTTACTGAAGGGAAAAAAAACCCTCTACAAAATACCCCAAAATACCTCTAAATGCTCAACTGTAGTAACAGGTTTTGGGTAACGATGTAATTTTCAGTTCAACACACTGACATACAACATAATTGCCCACTGTATAAGTGGGCAATAAGCAGCTTCATTTTAAAGACAGAAGTTCAGTAACTTCACACCAGATTCTGTGATCGGATGTAAGCTGAAGCATGAAGACAAGTCATTCTGCTTTTCATCCAGGCTTACACTAGAGAAAACAGTGTAAAGCATCTGGCACTGAGAAAAAGAAATCCTCAAAACAAAATTCAGGTGTCCCATGGAATTGGGAGTGTGTTTTAACAAAGGAGACAAAGCTTTAGCAGGAAGATTCATTGAATGGGTTGTCATACAGCAATAGCCACACGGTGAGACTAAGAGAAAATGACATGAATGATAGCCTGCAGAGTGGTGTATTTCCCTTTCAATGTGTTATGAAAATGGCAACAGAACTAAAGCAAAGCTCAAATGTTAAAATCAGCTCAATAAAGCATGTCATTTCAGTTACCTCTAATGCAGTTTAACAGCTAGAAAATAAAGAAAAGCCCACACTATCTGACTAGCCGCCTCTCCTCAGACAACTACCAAGTGTTTCCCAAGATCAAGTAACATGCTACTTTATATCTTCTATCCAGCTGTCCAAGGACTCGTTAAGATGTGAGGACTCAGTCTCAAGCATGCAGTGAGAAAAAAGCTGGAGTACAAATAAATGAAGACTATTCCTCCCTCTCTGTATTAACGGGAAGTTATTTGTTTTTTTATGGAGGCAATACAGCTTGGAAGAGGAATAGAAAAGCCCTCCTCTGCAAGTCAAGGGAGTTCAACCAGGGGACAAGGCTTCCCTGAGGGTATTCGATATGAGCAAAAGACAGAAGTCAAGCTTCTTTTTGCCTCCCCCCAAACATAAATCTGGAGCTCTGGGAAACTGTATAACATATATCAGGAACAAAGGAGAACTTAAAGTGATTAAACAGAAAAGTAACAGATTTTAAGAGAAAATGAAAAAAGCGCATCAAAACTGCATAAAAGCAAGTTTCAAGGCATCTTCTTCACAACGTGGTCAAAGCTGCAATATGGGCTTGTACTGTTTGAATTAAAAATTCCCTTGCAGGCATCTAAAACTAGCACGTGATGCTTGTTGAGATTAACTACAGTCTAATAAAGTAGATTCTACTTACAAAGAGTTTACGTTTCATAAGCTAAGGACATCCATTTACTTCAATGGGATTTGCATCACAATTTGATAAGAAAAGGGGGGAAAGAGGGGGAAAGAGGGGGAAAGAGGGGGAAAGAGGGGGAAAGAGGGGGAAAGAGGGGGAAAGAGGGGGAAAGAGGGGGAAAGAGGGGGAAAGAGGGGGAAAGAGGGGGAAAGAGGGGGAAAGAGGGGGAAAGAGAGGCCATAATGCCTATTGGATTTGTTAGCCAGCCTCCCTCACCACAGGGCTGTACCTGTTCTGTTGCTTCCCCTTCACCCTGGTCTTCTTTCAAGTTTTTCCCAGAGGTCAACTCTTCCCACGTAAACAGCAGGGAGTCTGTTACTTCACCAAACGGGTTAAAATCTATTAACCAAATCTTACCCTGCAATGGAATAATAGAAGAATTAAAACAAGCCACAGAATTGAAACAAAAAAAGGGAAAAAAAAAATCAGAATACACATATACTTTTATTACTGTAGTATGCTTGGTCTTTAGATAAAAAGATGTCAGAATTAAAATCACCTGGTTTTAAGCACTTAAAATATCCTAACATCCTTTACATTAGACACAGTTTTAAAACACAGTAAGCTATGACTTACTGATTTAATTTATTTTTTTTAAACAAGGTCAGACAGAGCTCAAATAAACTGAATTCAGTTCTATGCAAGGTGCTTCCAGATGAGACCACAGAAGTTGTGTCTAATCGCGATGGTCCTCCAAGATGCCCAGACAGCATGAACATGGAATGGGGTGGGGGGTGGTGGTGGGGAACAACCCCCAGAAAACCCAAAAATCCACAAAAAACCCCACCCAAACAGGGATTTTGCTTTCTATATAAGTTTGCTTTCTATATAAGCTTTCTTATAAGTCTATAAGAATTGCTTTTTTGGTCTCAGAAGGGACTCCGAAAATACAGAGCAGGGTCTGCAAAATGCTAGTGAAGATCGTGAAAGCTGAAAGGTGCTGCACAGATATAGATAAATAAAGAATAACTTAAAGGCATTTTTAATATAGCCATTACTAGCAGTCTGGGCTAGTTTCTCCTGCCTCATCTTTAATGTATTTGTATTCCAAGCAGTTCTGGTACTATGTACTACACCATGCCTGTTTTACAAGTGAAAAAATTAAAGCAGAGAGACTAACATGACTTATTAAAGGTAACAGAGACGTCTGCAGAGGAGCAAGAAGCAGTTTGCGTTCCTTGAGCCATCTCAAGATACAACCCCCAGCACAGGGCCATCTTTTCTTACCCAAGAAAGTGTCATCTATTCTAATAAAGCAAAGCATTATAATAAATTATAATGAAATATGAATACTAGTAGTAAGAATTTGCAAAACAAGTATTACATCTGGAAGAAGTCAGATCTATCAAGTATGGAAAGAAAAAGGGGGTTTATTGTGTTTATTAAAGATCAACTGGAATTGGAAACCAAACCTGAAGACTGCACAGCTACTAAAAACTTATTTTGCTTTCCCTTTCTTTCCCTCATTCCTGAAGGATCTTTTTTTCTTTAAAAGATCCTTCCTATCTTGATACAAACAGCAAGTATCTTCAATGATTTACACTACAGCCATCTGGTTTCTAACTTACAAAGACGCTTTTGAAGCCTTCAGTCATAGAGTAACATGGAGACTTACTCTCCCACCCACACTACCTAAGCCACCCCCCACAGGCACTAACGCACTTTAGAATAGGAAACGCGTGGAAACTCGTGCAACAGAGAACAGAAATGCTCTGGCTGGTCTGTTATCATCCACAGCGAGTTACTCATGCAGGTGTGGGGGGAGTCCCAGCACAGATGAAACCAGTGATATTACTTGTAAACTGGAACTGAGCCAGCACCCCGGCCAGCGAGTGTGTGGTTGCACACTGGCCTTCACAGGTCTCTTTCTCAGGGCAGATCCATGGGGTACAGATCTCTCAGAGCAAATTTTAAGAAGCCGATGCACCACAACAGCAGTACTGAAACCAGATGGCTACAAAAGAAACTGTGAATTGTGGGGATACGGACCCGAGTCGTTTCTTACTTGTTTCAGAAAGGTGAAGAAGCACAAACCTGCGTGGCTAAGTTGCAACCTCTGCACTAATATGGACACCATCGGTGCAGAGCGAACAGGGGCAAGCTGTGCTATCATTTTCTATCTCTGTTCTTCAAAAGGCAGTCACAAATTCTCACTGTAAGTGATGTTTTACTTTTGCTAATGGGGACATCTTGTTAGCTCCAAGGCAGCAGGAGGAGGAATCTGTAATTTTAGATTCCTTCTATCACACTAGAAAAACAAGCTAATGAACCAATTTAATCAGACAGAAGCAATGGCTGGCGAAGTTCATTCAGCATCTCAGAGAATCTTTCCTTGCATCAGAAATGTTTATACTTAATAAAGGACTTGCTGTGAAAGGCTTTCACAGTGACTGCTCCTCACCCCAAACACACAAAACTCCGCTTTTTCATAGGAACTCAAGATCATTTCTCTAGAAAAGAGGTGTACCTTGGAAAAAACTGAAAATTGGTTTTGAAACTACTGAAAGTGACACCTGGTTTTTGTGAGCACCCAGCAGTATTTCTCCCTCCCTGCAGACAGCAGAACACCATCTACAACACTAACCATTTCCTTGAGATGGTCTTAAATCTGCGCTGAATTTTGATAGCTGCAAGTTGATGAGAAGTGGCAAAACAAACTATAATGAGCCCTGAAAAGGGATATTAAGGGAGTGTATATAACTCTGGGTGAGTAACCAAACTGTCTTAAGATTAAATGCTCTTTCAAGTCTTACACGCAATGTTGTGATTTAAATGTAGTTTCAGATGACTTGCACTGTGCTACTAAAGAGCAGTAGTAAAGCTATTTATCTGCCATCTTCTGGTATTAGTAAACTTTGTCATATGAGAGCAGAGAAATGCACAAGCGAGGAAAGGAAAGTTGCGCACATCTAGAGGGGAAAAAACCGCCAACCTGTATTACATAAGATTTTTTTTCTCATCCTAAAACAGGAACCAATAGATTTACCATATCATGTCAGCTTCATGCTTTGTTTTACTAAAGCATTAAGCAACATGCTGCTGAAAGGAAGTGCCTATGACAAAGACTGTTTAAAGGAAGTTAAAAGATAGATAAAATGCAAACTGAACTGTTACATCTCCCTAACTCCAGCTGCACCTTCGTGCACAGTGACAATGCTCACAAGGCAGAGACACGAGCACTAGTTCGCACGTTAACAAGAGCAGCTGTGAGCCAGCAATGGTCTGGAGCCACTCACTGCATTTCTTTGTCTTACCACTGTGACTTGTGCTGAACATGGTTACAAGTTGTTAACACCTGGGAGATGCAAAGAGCAACAGCAGAGCTGATTCTCAGGCTTGTCAGCTGTCACACAATGATTGTGAACTGCTAACAGCAAAAAAAAAAAAAAAAAAAAAAAAAAAGTGGATCCAAATGAAAACAGACTACCAGTCCTGCAACACAACCTCTTCAGGACTAGGTCTCCAGATCATCCAGCTTGGAAGACTGTATGGCAGCGTTTCTTCCATAAACGATGACTTGTCTGCACAGTCAGGCACTAGCTCAGATGAGCTCGGTGAAGAGAGTGTAACAGGAAAGGCAGACACATAAAGCTTGCTCTCAGCCACGCCACCACTGCTTCTATGCCACCCTCCAACTCAAGGAGCAGGACCTGTGGCAGCCTACTCTGTACAGTCTCTCAAGTAACTAAAGCAAGCATGGGCAGGGGGTTGCTCTCATTCACAACCCTATCAAAGAAAAAGCTTCTCCAAGCTGAATATTTCAAGTTGAAAGAATTTAAAATAAGCAGACGCTGGACATTTCTCTCATTCTGTAGGTGAGGTTGCTGTGCAACCAGCCTGATGAGGAGCACGGGCTCTGGAAATTAATCACACTCAGCAACACTCAATATTCTTTTGCTGCCTATAACTCACATACAAAGGGAGTGATGAATAATACAGTTGCAAACCACAAAAGCATGTGTGAAAGGAGGAGGATCTGACACACAAAGGGCTATCTGGCAGTCTACAAGACCTGAGGGTAGAAGGCACCAAAAGATATCTACAAACAGATATATTTTATCTTGACAGATGAACACTGCTCATTTGAGATCACACAGGCTGAAACCTTGTACTTAAATAATCTGTCTTCATGCCTCAGCTGTGAGGCAGAGTAGCCAATAGCAGAACCTGGTTCAATACCGAAGCGTTGCTCCTCATTTTGCCTGACAGCATCCTCAAGTCTGACAATCTGAGCCTGGGCAGGTAATTTTCACTACCATTCAGCATGGCTGTTTTTAGCCCACAGCCTGATTTTAGGTACCTATGTTAAAAGTTGTGCTGCGTAACAGTACAATAGCTGTTTTCCACGACACACATTCCTGTTTAGTTTTTGTTTTGCAAACTACAGCATGATTTACTATTACACAATTACAAAATACTTTAGCAACATTCAAAGGCAGAATTGGGCCTTACTACAAATAATCCCAACTCAACTCAAATAAAGACCTTCGCCAATCCCATAACTGTAAACAAGTCAAACAGTGAGACTCATAAATGTATATAGCAAAAGTATATAGCTTTTTGTTTTTTTGCATTTCTGATTTAGGGTTTGGAAAAAATGTAAGCTAAAACAAAGACTTACTTCTCATGCACTAATGTGATTCCCCAAATCAGGTTTTGAGATTTAAGGCTACATAATGCATTTTTGGTTGTGGTTGCTTTTAAAACTGTACACGTGTGCCTTTCAAGCACAATTCATCTGACCTAGTTCTCTCCATTGACACTAGGAGAGGTCAAGGTGACTAACTCCGATATTGGCACCTGAAGTTCAGATGGGACATTTCTCCCCAGTCCGACAGTATCTGGATGTTCAGGGTTCTGATCTGCCGAGCACTCAGAACCACAGCTGGAGCAGTTTGAAAAGAAAAAATTAGCTTCCATCTGTCACAAACTGGGCACACCACACTCATATACTCTTTTGACAACAATCCCTTCGTATCCTAGACTTTCATATATGAAATACAAGTTATTACTTTCCAACCTCACATGGATAATCTGAAGAAATATTAATCATTAGTTTTGATGAGCTCAGATGCTATTAGGGAAAAACATCGGGGGGAGGAGCAGCCCAAGGAATGATTTTATGTAAGAATCCCCCAAGTTTTTTTTAGTGAGCAAAATATCACCCCCACCTTATTTTTTGAAATATCACAGCCATTCTGGCTGAATGTTCAGATACATTTCCGTCAAAAGCACCCAGAGTAAGCACTATGCGGAGGGAACCTTGGCAACAGGTAGTGCTTCGCTAAAACTATTTAGTAATGTTGCATGATATTGATGAAGTACCCATCTTAAAAGAAAACTAAATTGCCTTCAGTAGACTCATAGAACTGTCAGAATTGCAGCCGAAGCCACAGTTACGTGCTTTAAGACAGTAAATACCTTCTCTGGAAGGTATTTACTAAATAATTACATCAGTGGCACAACATATTTACACCCCTAATCCTATTATTCTCCTACTGTGGACAGTGTCTAACATAGGAAAAAGACCTGGGGAACAGAATGAGAACATCAAGTAGGGTTTTGTTGTTTTGGTTCCCCCCCACCCACCCCCCCCAGGACCACTTTTAGGAAGATGAAGCTATTATTTGCTTCATCTCTGTAGCATTTCAGGAAGAGTTTCCACAGAATAAACAATTATATACAACCTATTGTTCACTTACCCTGCTGTCTCTGTACACATCAAAAACAACTGAAAAGGAGAAAAAAAAAAGGTTAATCTTAAAAGATATACAATTTCACAGAAGATGTCTAAATCTGAATAGATACTTGTGTACACAGCACAATCTGCAAAGTCAGTATGTCTAAAGAACTGCAAGCCAGAATTAGGTTCATTTCCAAGAGGGAGCTGAAACATTTCAAGAACTATTAATGCACTGAGAGATCAGCTGCTGGGTTTTTCCATTTAATGCTGGTTTCTTCTGTTAATTTTTCCCCCCCAAAGAAGAACATTTGATAAACTCTTAGCACAGAGAGAAGCTCGTCTTTGACATTACTGCTGTTCCGTTTACAGCCGAACGGAGAAATTTCAAGGAAGGATCAAGACTCCACTGTGCTAGACATTGCACAAACATTTAATATGAGAAGCTTCCTGCTTGAAGGAGATTAGGACTTCAGCAGATAACAAGACTAACAGGTTGTAGGAACAAAGGGGTCAGTGGGCGTGCAGAGGAGGAGGTGGCAGTGAAATGGCTATGTTTAATGTAACCCAGAGCAGAGACAGCACACCTACTGGTTATCAACAACTCTTTCAAACAGACCCTTTGCTACTCAGTGACTGACGCAAAGCTGCCTTGCGTAGCTCTGTTGTTGTCCCTCCCCTTGACTTAATTAAGCATGAATCCTTGCACATGCATCTTTCTATTAGCTTCTGTTCTGTATGGTTAAACAAATCTTTGTCTTTCTACTCAGCTAGGGAAATCGACAGATAAACATTCAGGCATGACTACATGCAGAAGTTGTACCAGTTTAGCAGAAAAAAAGAAAAGCCAGATTTCAAAAAACCTCAGACAAACGCTGTATTGTCACTTCCTGCACTAATAAGGAAGGGAATATTTCAGCTAAGAGATTTCCCAATACATGTGGGATAAACTAAACTCAGGATATGACTGAAGAATACTTGAGCCTCAGCGACTACTCAAGAAGCTGCCTGTCGGTAACAGGGATGTTGATTGATCACATTCACGCATGTAAAGCTACTCAGCAGCTTAATCTAACATTTCATGCAAAGTTGGCTGGGCTAAGGGCAAACCACAACTCAAAAGCACCAAAGCCAGTCACGCAACTGGTTTTGACCATATAGGTTAAAAATCCACGCAGCTTTTTGCACAAGCTCGGTTGCGTCAATTTAAAATGTCACTCCAGAATTAAGTGCTATGATTTTCTTGAGAAGACAAAACCTCAGTGGCTAAGTCATCAATGTGAAGAGGAGGACAGCAACCCTAAATTTCTTCTCCAGCTGTTCAACTGAACTTGTTGCCTGTACTATGTGGTCTCATTAGTCATATTTCATTAATGGAAAACTCGCATCTGAGCTTTATTATAAAATGATGCCTGTCAGCTTAAGGCAAGCCTATGGCAATCATTTAGACTAATGGCATTTAGTGGAATTTACATCCCCATTAAAGCTGATTGCGCATTGGTGACTAGTTTGGGACACTCACAAACACTGAACAGAGAAGAAAACCTGAACTGTTCCCTCTTCTTAGGGACCACCTCAGAGCAGGAGTGTTGTGTGCCAGCGAGACTGTAGTAAAACTTTACCAGCAATTGCTCAAAATGGAGGGTGAGCCAAGGCTTGGCTCTACAGTATCGATACCTCCAGAACACTGTTCGTAGTGGGCTCTTATAAAAGGTATTTAGAAGGTTCTAACACCATTTAGAAGTATTTATAAAGCATTCACCCATCTGTTATCTTACTGCTCTGACTGCAATGCTTCAGCTGCTCTGACTCAACTCTTCCATCTGGAGATGCTACCAGACCAACTGGAAAAAGCAGAGCAAACAGCATCAAAATCCCTAACGAAACAAGAAGTCAGGAAAAAAAGCTATAATACCTTTCCTTTTAAAAGCAAACAAACAAGCAAACCCAGATTTTTATTGTTAACAACACATATGCTACCAGACAGTGAATCAAGGGATATGATGGGGGATGAATGAAAGGTGGTAAAAAAACCAAACAGAAAACATTTTCTGCATGGCACTCCCCTGCAGATGGATAAGTCACCAGTATTTAGTGCCTAAGAACAAAAGGTTAACAAACCTTCATCCCAGAAGGTCACCCTGAAACCTCCTTGTCCCAGATGGTAACTCAGATGGCATAGTTTTACGTCCTTTACATAAGATGACACTTCAGACCTTTCAGTTCACTAGACAGCAGTTTCAGAGCCTAAATCTAGCCATCAATTTCCAAAAATAGTGCCCTGAATTCTTATCTATCAGTTGATCACATACCAGCTAAAATTATGCTGGAACACAGAGGAAAATTAAAAGATCAGAATGTCAGATCTATATGACTGATCTTATTTTAAAACATTAGGTCTATGGACCTATTAAATTAGTATATGGATTTCCAGACTACTAGTCTTCTCCAAGCAGTGGTCCTTGAGAACTTCTCTGGACTGAAATAAAGGAACCCTGCAGAGTCAAATTATTAAGAATTTTAATATAACAGAGACTGGCATTAGAAGGTATCTTTTTCAGAAAGTCAGACAGGACAGATCTATTTGATTGCTTTGGTGGCTCAGCAAAATAATTAACCATATTCAAAACTTACCTAAAGGTTGAGTTTTCAAAGCTTTACAGAAGACAATACAACTGCCAGATAATTCTTATGTTTATGTATTTTACTAAACTGAGGTTTGGTCCACGCCAGACCCAATTTCAATTTCTTCATTGTATTTTTCACCACTACTGATCACCCATCACAACGGAACACTATTCAATTCTCACTAAACCATGTCAGGAAACTATTTCCAATAAAATTTGCAAAGGACTTCACATTTAAAGAACAAGACAATTTACTTGGGCTGCTTAGGTCTATCAAATACCATGGCCTTTATTCAAAAGTCTCAGCAGCTGAACTGCTGTGCATGAATTTTCCAGGAGAAACTATTACAACTTCTTTAAAAGAAATTTACAAATCCTTTTTTTGAGGAATACATCAATAATTTAGCAGCAAACATCTGACAACATCTTTATAAACAACTATCCTTCTTACTACTGAATGCCTTTGTTAAGCATTTCCTACCTCACTTTTCAGGTTTAGAATTTTTCTTAATTAAAAACAAGTATAAAGGGAAACAGCCTTCCAAAAAAAAAAAAAAAAAAAGAAAGAGCCATTATGCCTTCTGAAGGGATCTCATTTGTTGCGTTCTCCTGAAAAGCTCCAGCTTATTCCTTCAGGGCTTTTTGGTTGCCAATTTTATAGTCATTCAAAGACTACATTGCTCTGCACGTTCTAGCCACAAGAGCTATAGGTGTCTCCCAAGTTAAAAAGAACCAAGCCCTGTGAAACCAATAGATATGAAGAGAGAGATGCATCTCCACAGACTTAAAATATTGGGGATGCCATCATTTCTTGAGAAGTACCCGTTTTAACATTGATCTCCAGCAGTAAATTGGAATTTAGCACATTGCAACTCAGTGTGCTGTGGAGGAAATAAGCTCGGCTCAGCAACAGCAAGGGGGCAGGAGGACAGGTCTCGTTTCTGTGGAGTTTGCCCTGCAAGCCCTTTCAATTTCAAGCCTCCCAGTACCCTGCAAAAGAACTTCAAAGAGTTCATTTCTGATTTTAAGTCTTTGTAATTATGTGTGCAATAAGTATTTAAAAACCTTCATAAACATCCTCTTTCCCTCCCCCATGCTCCCCTTGCTAACAGAAGCCTTATGATACTTACAGTCTTCATCCAAGAATTTATACTGTATGTGTTTCTTGAAAAATTCCTGTATTGATCTACAGATCTCCTCATGTTGCTTAGAGATATGATCGTAGTATTGAGTGTAGTCCCTCTGTGATACACCTGTCAATAATTTAGTTGATTAGAAAGAGCTTTAGGCACGCAAAAAACCCAACCAGAAAAAATGCAGTTATCAGAGGCATGCATGTTATCTGTATTTCAGAAGATTGGGTTCTCCCAAGTTTCAACCATTAAGAATTACTTACTGTTTGGCTTTATTCTCCAACACCTAGAGCACTTCCATTAGGAATTTTTTCCTTGAAAAGTTCTACCCTACATTTTCTGAACCTCATTTTATATGTACACTCTTTGACTATTTTAAAGTGAATTTCAGGAGGAACCTTTGCATGCACTTAAGTTTCCAGTTCCTGTCTTTTCCTTTCAGTTTTCTTCCCCTTGGTTACTCTGGTCAAAAACCTTTTCTGTTCTGCACATCAGATGTAGGGAGCAGAATTTGGAACCATGAAATGAAAGGGGTAGAGGCCAGGCCTGCACATTAGCAAAGATGATAGAACCTAGTGTACCATAAAGATTCTCATTTAACCCATTTTTTAAGCATGGAATAAAGCATACCTGATTGATAAGGCACTACAGGTGAAACCTTAAATCCTAAAATCAACAAGATGGCATGCAGTCTAGTACCTGATTTCTTCCATTTGCCCCCCCTCGAGGGTTGTCTTTCATATCTGACATAGATAAACTATTCCAGCTACATCACAAGCTCTTAATTTCAGACATTTGTTTGTCTACAATACAATAGTTTAAGTTGACATCAACAGGATTATACACTTGCATGCATCTTAAGTGACAGAAATTCTCATACAGGATGTGTCAACATAAGTCACTGCAATACCCTGCTGGACAAATGTCAAATTAAGACTTGTCCCATCACTACA